TGGAATTATTGATCAGGAATTTAAAAAAAAAAAACAGGACAAGGGATATGGACTTGGACTGGACTACTGGACCAGTAACCCGGTCTAGTCTGGTCCAGTCCGCCCAACCCGAGGAACAGCGGGTTCCTACCGGGCAGGACCGGTCTTCTGGTTGGGGTGACCAGCCCGAAGACCAAAATGGACCAGACCATGAGCTAATGCCCTGCCCGGCCCGGTCTGGTCCATGTTCAGCCCTACCTCGCATATTCAAATCTTCTACCCAAATTACACTGTTTGGTGTTTGCTAGAAGTGGTGCCTCTTATTTTCTTCTTCTTTTTCCTCAATGGGTCAGAGCTAGAAATGGTACTTCAAAAATAGGATTTTTTTTTAATCGGACAATTTAAACCCTCCCCTCTCATTTATAAAAAAAAAAAAAGAAGACTTACTTCACACACATCCAATCATTTAGTTTTTGTGGTATAGAACTCCAACCTCCTCTATGAGAGGAGGTATGGGATGCCAGCCATTAATCCCAATGGTTCTTGGCACTTGAGTTAAATGACGCCATTTTCCATAGTTTAGTTCATTGAATATTAGATTATTAAAAATTTTGGATACGAAACATCAACTATCTTAAGTATTTCTTGCAAGCAATCAGTATGTCACACTTTTAAAATATTTTTTAAATAACATTTAATATTTTAAAATTTTTTAATGTAATTTTGCCCTAAATTGTTTTTCCTAGTAACAATGATAATCTTGAAATAAAAAAAAAAAGTATTTTTGATGTACAGAAAATTCTTAAATAATAATTCAGAATATTTAAATGTCATTGAAAATATTTTAGAATTCAATACAAAGGCATAAATTGATATAGAAAATCGAGTACAAACAGTTCTGAGCTGTGGTGTAAATTAACCCAAAAAGTTTATATGACAAGGTAAGAAAATGGGTTTCTTGAGCTGAATGTATGGAGGATCTTCGGTAAGATAAACTAAGTAGTAAATTAATTTATTTGTCATTTTTATTTTAACCTTATCAGCATAAGCGATATTTCACGGGATAACATTAGATTCTAGGTAAAATATGAAAAAAAAATACTTATAAAATTTTAAAATCTCAAATCAAAAATCACCACAGAAACATATTGTCAATTACTTTTCAAATATTATCGATTGTTATTAAAGTGTGTAAACAAGACTAATTTAAAATTTTAAAATTTAAATATATGTTTTTGGGGTTCTTCCTAAATTCTATACTGATTTTTTATATCACGTGGTACTGTCTTCAAATATACTTATAAAAGGGGAAAAAACAACTCATGGATAAGTTTTGGGGCTAGCAATTATAGTATCGCCAAGCATGTCAAACTTGGGAGTTTAAGTAAACTTATAATAAGAATATAAACTCGAATCGTAAAATAATTAAATATTCTTTCGATTCTTAATATAGTACATATTTAACTAATTTGATTGAATTAAAAAGTTAAGTAAATTAGTTAGTTATACTAAATATGACATGTTTTTTTTTAAAATGTGTTAATCATCTTATTAACAGAGGTGATTTGAAAAAAATTGATAGATATAAGAAATATGTATTATATTTAAAATCAAAATCAACTCCATAATTAGATCTTATATTAAGGACTAGAAGAGTAATTAAAGTTAAAAAATAAAAATAATTTTATTTAAATAAATTTTAAATATAAATAATTGAAATTAAATCCATCAACATTAATAATATATCATATTGAATAAAGAAATTTCTATGAAATTTATATGAAAAGTCACTAAATATAATTCAATCAAAAAATTTAAAGCAAGTTTAAGAGCAATTTGACAATATTTTGTAAGCTAAAAACATAAACATGGTAAACTCGATGAGTAAAATCATAAGATCAACCGGATTTACAGCTAGTACGAGTTTAAGAACGAGTCAACAAGATTTTATAAGGTAAGAAAGTAAAAATGTTAAACTCAAGAGAATTAACTTGTGAGTTTGACAACAATGAGTACTATTTCTGATCCTTAATATAAAAGCTAGTTGACTAATTTTAGTAGATTAGAAAATTAATTAAGTTTGTTATTTGTAATAAATATGTATTGTTTTCTCTAAAATACCTTCTTTTTTAATCATGTGTATTTACTGGAAATACTATTTGAGGAAATCTTTAATATATGTAACTATTATAAGGATTACTTTGAAAAAATAGATAAATATGATAAATAAATTGGATTAGAGTCTTATATTTAAAACCAAATTAAATATCAAAGTAGTTTTTATATTAAAAACCGGAGATAGTAGCATTTAAGCTACCATGTGCGACGCATTTGTGAAGAATTTGAGTTCAAGCTCAATCCAAAAAGTTTGAGAAAATGACTGTAGACTGCCTTAGAAAGACTGGTGGAAAGCTTGAGCAAAACAAATCTTAATGTTGGTTTCGCGTTCCTTTCCTGCATAAACTGTCACTAGTAAATAATGCAACAATACAGGCAAGGCAAATAGAAAATGAAGCTGAATAGAAGAAATTGACTTGTTTGTGTTGTGGCGGGAGAGAATAAAAAAGGGTGCATGCATGTAGGGATGTGAGGAAGGTGGAAATTAGGCATTTGTGCTGCGTTCATACATGTATACGTGTATGTGCATGTGCCTCAGCTGGGGCAGGTAACTCTTTAATTTTTATGTAATTATGCATAGTACTCCCTCCGTTCCTTATTATAAGAGACATTTGGTGCTTATGGCATGTTTCTATATATAAGAGACATTTAAAAGTTGTCTCTATTTTTTTGTGTTGATTTCCTATTTTACCCATATTTATTGTCTCCAATTCACACTCTCTTTCCTTCCCACTTCTCTTTCTTTTAATAAATTACCATTGTTCTCTCTCCTTATTAATGAGGGTATTTTTGGAAAAAAAATTATACTTTTTACATATTAATTGTTCTTAACTAATTTTAACTGTTTTTTTGATCAACGTAATTAGGTTATTCGTCTCTTATAATAAGAACGGAGGGAGTAATATATAAAGGCAGCCCCACCGATATATCTACCTCTACCTACCCATATATATGCCTGTATGGAATGGGGTTTGTGTCTTCTTCGCATCACATGGCAATGGGCGCCCCAGTCAACATGAACTTCCCACTTATATATACCATTCACATCCTTAATAACTTGTAACGGATTAAATTGACAAAACTTTTCAATTTTACTCTTATTAAATTTTTTCCCCTTTTCACATTTACTGATTTGCATGTCATTCTTATATCTCTCTGTTTTTTTTTCATAAGTTTGTATCCCTCCAATAAAAAATAAATAATGATAAAATTAAAAAACAAATATTAGATATATCATGAGTGACTTACATTTATGACTAAAATTAATTTTCCCCACAAGCCTATCATTTTCAATCTTAGTTAATATATCCTTGCCGATGTATTCTGACCCAGCCACGTCCAAACAATCATCCACAATGCACACTCTGCGCCCCTCCCATGTGCTTCTCCATACAAATTAAAAGCCTTGTTTCCCCTCTTTAATTTCGTTTGCTTCCTCAAAATCACACTCTCAACAAATTTTGCCTCCCATCCTGCTCATCAAACAAACTTATTTTGCCACCCTTCCGTTCTCCTTCTGTGCTTTCTCTACAACAAAAGTTTTTTTTTTTTTTTTAAACAGCAAGTCCCGAGATATGTAATTCCCTGCAATATCTGCATCTAGTGGTACCTGTTTGCCCATGATATCCAACCTTTCCAGTAATTTACAGCTTAAATGAAGAAGGAAGTGAGAGCTGCGCAAGGTTGTCGGCTTTATGATTGAAGGCCACAGATCCAGTTACTTCTCCAGTCTTTAATATAAGACTCATGTAACTAATTTGATTAGATTAAGGAAATTAGGTAAGTTAGTTAATTATAAGAAATGTGACATGTTTTTCTAAAATATCATAATCATCTTTCTTAATACCCTTTCCCCCTCTTCTATTTGATTATGGTTGAAACAGTATCTACATGGATAGTTTAGAGAAAATTGATAAATATGAAAAATGAGTCTTATATTTAGGATCAAAACCAACTCAAGAATTGGGTCTTATATTAAAGATTGAAGGAGTATAATGGATCACCAAAACCCAGGATTCGGATAATGACTTTGATTAGAATAACCTCGGTGGATAAGAACGAAGAATTCTCCTAATGTGGACAAAAATAAAATAAGCACGACAAGAATTTGAGACGATATTATCCATTACTAGTTATTTCAATCTCAGAAGCTTGGCCTGGGTTTCGTTTGCTCATTAATTTGGTCATGAAATAATGCTTTTTATTTATAGAATTATCTTTTTCAATTTTGTTGAGCCTTATCTTTTAATCTCAAAAAGAAAAACACGAATGTCATAGCTTCACCCAAAATAATTAAAATCAACCATTAAATAGATCGATCTAATTAAAAAAAAAAAAAAACCAGCCAATAGGTAGGACGGGCGAGAAAGTCAAACGTCTTGAAAATTGATAAAAATATAATTAAAATTATCCATTGTCAGTGATGAATTTCTTTCTTCATTGGATAAATTTCTTACCGAAATTTTAAATTCCATTTTCTGAGATTTGGTCTTGTATTAAATAGGATTCGTTGTTTGAATTATACTAATTCTAATTCTATTTTTTTTTTTAAATAACCATACCAATTCTAATTTTAAATCTAACTCCAACAAATAACAACATTTAACGGGATGCAGATGGGAAAATACTCCGCATCTAAAATGACGATGGTTCATTCTGGCCAAATATTTTTTCCTATTACAGACAAATAATAGGATGTCTAATAAATGTAACTATGGAAGTTCAAGTTCATTGGTGACAGGAACAGGTTCCATTCTCCGTCAAAACCGGCGCAGAGGTCCGTGTCCACGTCAGGAACACGTGTCTTGTCCATGCGCGTCCCTGCTGGAACCCGTCCCGGCGTCTCTTAATTCTCTCTCTCTCTGCTCCGTCCTCAAATCATGAATTTTCTGCCTTAATTTCTGGTTTTTAAAATACGAGCTCTATCTAGGAGCTTCTTAAAATACAGTCCCAGCTTCTTCGTCTTCTTGGAAGCCCATGTATTCTGCTAAAGTTTCTGGGGGTGCAGAAGCTGTTCAGCACTCTTTCCGCTCCCTTGTTCTCTCGCAAAAAATCGACAAATTCAGATTCAAACTCAAGTTTTGAGGCGAGTTCATATCCTGAGTTTCTCTCGGATTCATATTTGGTGTTCTTATGGGTGCTAGTTTTTCCCGGCGTGTTTCGGATTCTGAATTTGCTGATGTTGCTGTGAGGCCAAGACTTGGAGACATACCAGAGAGCTGTGTGGCATTGATTTTGATGTATTTGGACCCACCTGAAATCTGCAAGCTGGCTCGTTTGAATCGGGCATTTCGTGGAGCTTCATTAGCAGATTTTATTTGGGAATCCAAATTGCCTTCGAATTATAAGTTCTTAGTGAAAGAGGTATTGAAGGATGCTTCTCTGATGGAACTGGGGAAGAAGGACGTTTATGCTAGACTTTGTAGGCCTAATCTATTTGATAATGGAACAAAGGTAAGTCCTCCCACCCCTTCTTCGTTTATGCTAGACTTTGTAGGCCTAATCTATTTGATAACGGAACAAAGGTAAGTCCTCCCACCCCTTCTTCTCTCTCTCTCTCTCTCTCACTCTCACGCGCGCGCGCGCGCGCGCATCATCCCACTTCATCGTTCTTTTCAAGTGCCTGATTACTTCATGAAATGTTTCTGTGGCGAAGGAACTACGGATAAATAAGAGGACAGGTGGGATCTGTTTAGCGATTTCTTCCAAAGTGTTTAGGATTACAGGCATAGATGATCGGAGATACTGGAATTACATTCCAACCGAAGAGTCAAGGTGAGATTATTGTAGGTAAAACCATATAGCTCTTGCCTATTTTATGGGACTCAAGTTGCCTATGAATTGTGTGTATTGTCTTTTCTGTATAGACTTGTCCTCGTGCCGGGAATTCTATCTGGTTTTGTTAATAGGTTTGAATTATTCATAATTAATTGTCTTCTTTTTATGAACTTATGTATGAAAATCGTCTTCTTTTCATGAACTTGTAATTACCTATCACCAAGTCTTACCCTAATCTCTGAAGTTGGAATAATCCTGGATATGGTAGGCTTGAGAGACTTTGCGATATTCATATGCATCGAATTTTGATATGTTTTGTGGTTGCCTCGTGTATATACAGTTTCTCTAACGTAATCTCAGAAGGACTCAACTTTTTAAGATTTTAGCCACCTTGGCCTTGGTCTGGTGTGAGCCACAATCTACTTAAACACATAAGATTGGGGACTCAACCATCCTGATACAGTATGAGTGGTTATCTGTCATGTGGTGCATCTGAATTAGTGTCTGTACATGATTCCTAGGTCATGATTTCTTCTCAGTGATAATATGCTTCTCTTTCTCTATGATCCATTTGAGGTTTCAGGACTAACCTGAAATCTGATATCCGATGCTTTTTATTGTGTGTATAGATTCCAGACAGTTGCTTATCTTCAACAAATATGGTGGCTTGAAGTGGAGGGAGACATTGATTTCCGGTTTCCGCCAGGGACCTACAGTGTGTTTTTCAGACTCCAACTTGGAAGGTCATCAAAGAGGCTTGGCCGTCGGGTCTGTAACACTGAGCATGTCCATGGCTGGGACATAAAGCCTGTGAGGTTGAAACTTACAACTTCGGATGGCCAACATGCTGTATCCCAGTGCCATTTGGACAATCCAGGAAACTGGGTCCTCTATCCTGTTGGAAGCTTTGTTTCTAAAACCCTGATGATTTGATGAACATCAAATTTTCATTGACCCAAATCGATTGCACCCACATCAAAGGAGGTCTCTGCGTGGACTCTGTCTTGGTATGCAACAGTAACGTAGGAAAGGAGCAGAAGAAGGAAAACTTGTTCGGCGGACCCAATTTATGAAGATAAGACGATTGGGTTAAATATAAGGAAACAGACAAGAACATCAAGGTCTCCATGGAAGGGGCTGAGCACGAATGAAATCAACGATTCACGTGAACTTAGCACTTCCAGCAAAAGGTGGTACTGATGGACTCGGCTTCCGTATGGGCTCATGGCTCGTGGGTTTTTTGAGTAAAATGATGTCATTTGAAGCCTAGGCGGAATGACATGACGCAATGATATGGGACAGATCAAAACAGATAGTAAAGAGCAATTTGGCGAAATTGAACTAAAAAACCATCCATTTTCGAAGTGAATGAATGTTTCTTTGTGATTTGACTCAGTCTGCTCGTGTTATTCTATACAACTGGGGTCTGCTGAAGATCGTCTGGTAGTTGAGATGGAAAAATGGAGGACTTGGTAAAGATTGGTTTTGTTGGTTAAAAATGTGTAGGGGTGGAGATGCAAGGATAGGTGATGGGCCCAAATGTGCCAAATAAAGATGCGAGCTGTGTTGTAAGATTTTTTCTGTACACGTGTTCTTCAGTTGCAAGTGTGCGAGGCTCCTGTATGTAGATCCTCTGCTATTACAGAGTGAGGATTGGTTGTGTTTCTCCTCAGACCTTGTTTTTAAAAGTAAAATCTAGACTGTAACTTGAACTTTGTTCTGTGTCATATTGATAAACTCTGGCTAAGGGTTCGTTATCTGCCGTCAAGCCTATCTCCTGTATTCCTACGCCACTTTCAGCCGAATGGAATTAGGATGAATACACAGGAAGTTGCACAAGGCCCGCCAACATATTTGTATCTGATAACTTCCAAAACTCCTTCTCACATTATTCTTTATTAGAGTGATATGGCAGATCGTCATCAGAGTCATATTTAACTGCGAATTCATTATGAAGCATGATAATTCTTTATTTCAATTTTTTCAAAGTTAGGAAGACATATGCAGCGCAAAGTTCATGAAAACTATAGTACTATAAGAGCTAATTAACTAATTAAAATAGATTAAGAAAATTAATCAAATTAGTTATTTGTAATAAATATGTATTGTTTTTTTAAAATATTCTTGTTAATTAAGTGTATTAACCAGAATTATTATTATTGTAAGGACTATTTTAAAAACATAGATAAATATGAAAGGCAAAATGTATTGAGGGTTTTATATTTAAAACTAAAATAAAAATTAAATTAACTCTTATATTAAAAATAAGAGGTAATACTATTCTAGCATTGGAAAAAATGTTAAAATGTAACGTTTTTGTATGCATTAAAATGCGACATTTCGCACATACATAATGTATATAAAATTTTTCAGAGAATGACCCACAAGGTGCGAAGGAAATTGATGACGCATTTTGTTGCACACAAGCTCCAAGCTTCTTGGCTTTTTTTTAAGCAAGTTTAACAGACGATGCTCTAAAAAATCCTCTTCAGAGTATTTGGGATATTTCACCGAAAAATATCCGGAATTTAAGTAATACATGAAAAGGACACATTTAATGATGCCGATGATGATTTGCATAGATTAATAACAAGCTTCGCTTCCCGGCGCTTTCTTTTCTTTCTTCCACTCGTACGCCATCTCTCTCTCACCCCCTTCCCTCTCTCCTCCTCCCTTCCTTCTGTCACCAACAATCCTCTCTGTCCCTCAATTTCTTCATGTCTTCCTTCTAGGGCTTCCTTTTCGGACGTGCACGTATTCCGGCGTACGACGAAGGTGAACATTGCCATACTTCTCTCTTTTTCTCTCTCGAATTTCAATTGAAGATCCCTTTTAATCTGCGTTCAACTTTTTATTCTTGTTTCGAATTTTCTCTCGAAATACCGCTACTCTTCACTCTTATCCTCCTTTTCTGGTTATCGAACGAATTCGGGTAATCACTGGGGATTGCCCCGAAATACGGGAAATTCATGACCAATTTACTTAACTCTAGTAAAATGTAAATTATTGAATTTCTCGGATCATTTAATATTTTGTTTCTTTTATTTTCTCTGAGCGAATTGACTTTTCGTATTCTGGTGAGCCATTTTTCTGATATTTCTCATACCTCGATTGCTAGCCTGGGTTGGCGGAGATTTTACATTAAGGGCACCCCACTGCTGTCTTATACGTGTCAAGAAATAAAAAGATTATAATTATGCTGGCGAGGATATGTATTTATATGTGCGTCAATTTTGATTACATTCATGGCCAAAATGCAACATTACAACAAATAATCACGGACTGTCTAATTGTTGAAGTCTTGAATAAAAAATTGTTTTTTGCTCCATTTTGGAGTGAACTGTGCTAGTTGTTAAGATGTTGTTCTTGTGCCAGTTCAGGTTGTCAGGCTTGTAAAAGAACTTGTTATTTCTCATACACCTACCACCCCAATATGGGATCTTCTGTGGATTTCATCTATTGGCTTGATCCTGACATGTCGCACAAGATTCTCACGTGTCTGGATGATCCGTCTGACCTTGTCCGAGTTAGTTGTGTCTCGCGTTCTTGGCGACACTATGGTGAGCTGTACCGGTTGATTTCTACATTTAACTTCGGTGGATATCTCATTTATACGAGTACACCAACTTTAGTCTATGCATTTCACATCATGTTTTGTCATCTGATCAATCAACCCTTTTAAGATTATGCTTTCTTTTCTGTGTTATGTATTTCATGAAATTTTAGCCTCAGTATGCTAATGATTCTCACTTGCACCTTGACAAGAAGATAAAGCATACGTGGTCACACCTGCACCGCCTTTTTTATGCCTTCTAATAGAATATTATAACGGAAGCTGTTCTCTTTCCTAATTTATTAGTATATGTGCTTACTATTTGCATGTGGACCTTGACATGGGGATTATGGCATACATGACCAAACTTCCATTTTTTCCCCTTAATTTGTTTGAATATTGACGTAAATGGTTTGCTGAATAATGTATTAGACAAGAGTGCGTGCTACATCCAGACGAGCTTTTGAATTGTGGGCAACAGAAAGGAGTGCGTGCTAATCACTTGGATTGTCAGCTAACCTAGGCTTATAAAACATTCTTGATGGTGTATTATTTATGATGGTAATCTGAACAAACATTTAGAGAATAACTGTAAAATAAGAAAGATAATGCAATCTCATTGGAGACTAGGTGAAAAAAGAGTTTTTTTTTTTTTTTGGGTCAAAATTATTTTAGCTATAAAGATTTATATAAATTTGAAAAGTTATTCATAATATCAGCTTTCTATTAAAATGTTAGTCTCATTTTAGTGTTTATGCATTAGAAATGGAATGTGTTCTCAACATGGTTGATTGCGAACTGCTGAACAGCCTAACTTCTTGCAATACTTAATGAGAATAAGTACACATATTAGTGAGAGCTTAGTAGAATCTACTGTTTGGTCTGTCTTGGAGGACTTCTTACTGCACTGCTACTTTCACCCTAATAAAATTTCTTTTTTCCCCTAAAATCAAAAGTTAAGTCATTTCATTTAAGCACTGGTGGAAAAAGTTATGAAATCTACAGCGATCATACTCAGCGATCATACTCAAAGGATGCAAGAGTTCTGCAGAAACTAAAATCCAATGACAAATGTTATTTCTACTGATTATCTAGTATACTGATTTGCAGTGATTAGAAAAGGTCTTTGCAAACAGCTATGCTTGAGAATGTTTCCTCAATTATCTAGAGCCTCATATGTTGTTGAAATGAATAAAAGTGGATCAAAGGAACCTGAAGTTGGATCTAGCTATTCTATGGAATGCCAATCTCTAGAAAAGGACCATAGAGTCTATGCTTATTTAGCTAGAGCCTGCACATCATTTGCTATTGTGGGTTGCATTCAAGAGACAATTGGTGCTTCTAGCACTGATAATTTTCCAGAGGAAAGCATTGATAATACATTAGATGCAAGAGATGATATTGGTGGGAGAGCTTCGTACTGGTCCAGTAAAGGGCAAAAAAATCCTGACGTGCCTGAGACACTAACTTACAAGTTGGTCTGCCCAATTTGTGTTATTACGGAAATTAGTGTTCACCCTTTCCAAGGTATTGTTTTGTTTTTTGACAAACAATGTGCTAGTTTGTTTAATTTGCTTTTGTAAGCCTTTTTTTGATGATATTGTTTTCTTCATGTTCAGCCTTTTTTCAGCCAGGGTTTCCTATATATTCAGCAAAATCTGTTCGAATCAAAATGGGTCATCCTAATCGCTCTTTAGACACCTCTGCTGATGAAAAGTATGTATGGACCTACATTTCTCCGGAGTTTCCAATGGCTCAGGTATGCAATTTTGCTTCTCAAACAATATCTATTTCCTATACTTTTCTTTTTCCTCTGAATGCTTCGTTTGTTTCATGGGATTTGATACTTGATTTCAAATACAATTTATACTTTGCTAGTGAAGTTTCCCTTTCTCTGGTTGCTTTTGTCTTTCATGGTTGTGTAATGGAGGCTCTCTTGAATAGTAAAAATTTCTCATTTTAATAACCTATGAACTCCCGGATTTTAACTGTGTTTCATTAGATGATGCTTTTGGCTGAAGAGGCCAGTGGAATGATGAATGAGTCAGTAAATATGATACATTTGCATGTAATTCTGCAACGTTGGTGCATACATGTCAGATATGACCACAGATATAGCTGGTGATGAATTGAGAGATAACCTTGTGGCAGATGCTTTAGGGAAGCTGAAATGAGCCTTATTCGTGTGGCTGGAAATCAGGTGGATTGGATGATAGCTATAGTGTGCTGTTTTAGTGATTCCAATGCTTAAGATTCTTGACTGGGGCTTTCTGTGGTTTGGCAAGGATGCATATTTTGTACCGTATGCAAAAAATGAGGATGTTGAATAAAGCTTTCATTTCCTTCCTTTCCTTGGAGATGTTTGGTGGCTGAATCAGTAACATAAATCTAATTTCCATTTATGGGTCCATTATACTACAAACTCTACTAGGTCCAATATCTGGTGTTGGTTGACGCCCATTTGTTGATTGGCTGGACAAGGTGCCTAACTCGATCTGCACTCTCTTTATGCGTTATGATAGATCTGTTTTGGTCTGATGATCAATCGTAAGGTCGGAAGAGTGTTGACGTCTTGAAACGCTTAGGGGCAGTAATAGTGGTTCAATAATTGAAGTGGGCTTTAATTTTCATTTACCTGCAAGTTAGCAAAACTGATTGACTCCATATATGTTTTGAAGAAGTTTAGCTGACTACTCCTAGTTGCAATTGATGTCTCTGGATCAAACAGAAAACATTTGATGTCAGGCGGGGAAGCATTTGAATGAAGATTATTATTGTTGTGTATATTACAATCAGTGCGAATAAATTGATAAGATAAACATCTATTTTGTGGACATTGGACAGTATTTCTGGTTGAGAAGGAGAAAGCATATATCACTATGCTCATCTTCCTTATTCCTTTTTTCTTTTTGGTGAAGGAGAACGTTGAATACTTTACGTGTACCTGTCTCTGACAATCACATTGTTACTTGTATGCCCATGACTGTAGGATTTTAAATAATTGATAGGTTGTTTGAAAATTGCTGTTTCAGGTCTTGCCACTCCCCCGTAATTTCTTTTTTTTGGTTTTTTTTTGGGGGGGGGGGGGTTCCTTAATGTTCCATTGAAAATTGAATATAATGTGATTATTTGAGCCATTTGATTTTTTTGGCCCACTTGATGTCTTGTGTTTTGAGCGCAAAATATATTAGATCATTGGCATGCCTCTTATTAAACTCGATTCAGGTTTGAGTAATCCTACGAAGGAAGTATAGACACTGACTTGGACACTACTTCGTAACACAATAAAATCTAACAGTGTCTACATGTAATTTAAAGTGTTGCATATAAATATGTTGTGTATAGTACGAGTGTTCGAAATGGTGTACTTTGTAGTGCTGGTAGAATAAATAAGCTTTTTCCCAAACTGGAAATTAACTAGCCTGATTTAGTTGAGAGAAATCTTATGTGATTGAATAATTAACTTCATTTTTTTACAAAATTTTGCTTGAGCATTCCTTTTTAACTTCATTCATTTCTGAGAAAAATTTCTTTGAGTGCAGGAAAACCGGTTACAGAAGTTCAAGCTGCCACAACCAGTGCTTTGTATTGGTAGGATCTTGCAGATTGAGCTTTTGGGAAGGATTCAGAGACAAGAAATGGACAACTTGTTCTACATTTGGTGTGTTCCATCCCTATTCATTTTTTCATTGAGAGTTGCAATAACAGGGGAAGAGAGAAGTTTAATATCTGAATAATGCTTTCATTCATATCCTTGACAAAATACATAATAATATAATATGATACTTATAGTTTTGTCGGCATAACTGACGTTAACTTCCAATCCCTAAAAACATGGAACTGCAAGTAACTTCCCAATAGCCACCTACAACTTAGGATAAGATTGAAAATAACTACAAAAATAACTATATGCCTTATTTTCCTGCGTTTTGTGTGGTCTACATGGTGCCATTTTATTTATTTATATGCATGTGAAAGGAATCTTAAATTTTTCTCTTTGCTATGTTTGCTGACACTGTTGGTTTGGTTACATTTCATGCCTATTTTCCTAGGCTTGTCCTTGGGTCATGTTTAGAAATGGTAAGCTTTGTGAAGACCTCACAAACTACTTCGGAACTTTGTGTTCACCAATTTTTTGGGGATTTGAGAGTGTAAATGGGATGTGAGTCGGTTTATGGTGAGGATGGCTTTGTTGCCTGACTTGATGCTGTACCTAAACCTGGACCACAGAATCTTCATTTATACATAATCTAATCTAAATGCCTAAAAAAGGTATGATTTTGCTCTCATCAGAGGATCTTGTGTTTCATATCAGTCTTGATGCATGAGAAGAAACTGAAAAATTTCCGGTGGATATTGATAGAGTCCCATATCAAGGGCAGTTTACAAATTAGTTATTTTCAGTTATTTTTAATCTTCAATTTTAGGTGGTTATATTCAGTTATCCTTTGAGACTATTACAGTGGGATTATTTAAATATTAGTTATTGTCAGTTATTGATAATCCTTATCCTAGAATGTAGGAGGTTATTAGGAAGTTACTAGTTAGTTATTCTCAGTTATGTTTTCAGCCTATTTAAATCTATTGTACGATGACATTAGGGGGTGAATGAAGTATATTATTCAGGGATTATTCAGGAATTTCCATCTTCTTCTCTCCTAGGATTTCAGATACTGATTCTAGGCTCTCTCTCTCTCTCTCTCTCTCTCTATAACACACATCTCTCTCCTACCTTCTCATCTCTTCTTTCCCCTCTCTTCCCTTCTATCTCCCAATTCTTTTTCTCTCTTTTGCAGAACCTAACAGATATTTCCTCCTTTCATCGTAATAGTAGAACTAGCTTATTGTCATTTAGCGGCACACCTGTGAAATTCGTAGGCATTCTTATAGTTTTGCTTCCTTTCCCACTTCCATTTTGCATAGGTTTGTTAGATTTGTCGTTAGTTGGTTAGTTGCCCTGAGATTCAACCTTAAATTTATTGAAGCATCCCTTAGTGTACCATCATATGATTGTGTTGCAGATGTCATTTTGGAATCCCTAATGTGAAGAAAATTGTGATTGCAGTGTCTCTCATGTTCAAGTTGTGGGCCGCCCACTGTCTCCTGCGTTTAGTGTTGAAATTCGTGAACCATCTTCTGGAACATTTCTGCTCAAGTGTGATCAGCTGGCCAAGTGTCCCACCCAACCAGCCTTTTCTAACGAGTCTCATGCGATACCCCCTGATTATGTGCAGAGGCGAATTAGAGATTTTCAACAGATTGTGACAATGTTGCGGGAAAATGTTGTCGAGGTTGTCGAAGAAGAGGATTGGGATGAGGATGAGGAAGTTGATGACTTTGAAGACGCATATGCCCTTTGATCTTTTTTTATGCCTAATAAGTGCTTTTATAATCCCCTCCCAAAACAATAAAGAAAAGGGGGACATAGTATCTCTCCAGGTATGGTTTGGTTTGCACCGCAATCGTTATCCTTTTTGTCCTCTTTTGTGTGTGTAGCCTTTGATTAAATGCTTACCTTTGGAATTGAAGTTAAAGTTCCCTGCCCTGTGGTCTAATTTCTGAATTAATTTAGGCATCTACTTTTCTGGTTGATGGTTGCAGAACAATCGGTCTAATTATCATTTGGGGGTCAAAAACGTTGTTTGCATTTCGCGACCAAAATTGCTCGGGATTATCTCAATTCGGTAAAAATTAATTTTAAAAAAAAAGTCTAACTTAGCTGTTACCCATGCTATAGTGTAATGTATCGACTATATAGTATGTCCATAATTCCTACCTTCAAAGTTGTGTACAAGTATTTTGTCAGATATATCTAACATTTTAAAGTATTTTGTGATCATTGAGTTCTTTGAAGTATTTTTTAAGATATATTTAGTATTGTAAAAATATTTTGTAGTATAATTTCTCTTAAAATATTAATTTTTTTTCCAGTAGTGATTATGCTTTTTTTCCTCATCGATTATGCTTTCAAGGTATTGTTTTATGAGAATTTTATTTTCATCATTAACTACTCAAGATTTGTTAAATAAGCATATATTAAGTAACGAAGTATTTTTTAGTAATTTTTAGGTGTTGGCGGCAATGAGAAAGTTTTTCAAGGTTACATTTTCTGTATTGGACCTCTAAGAATTATTAACCCTAGTTTTCCAAATTTTTTGGGTTAAAATTGCATTCATTTAAATTTTCGCCCTCTTCCCCGTCCCTCTTCTCCAACCAAATAAGGGGTTTAAATCTTTATTTATATTCTGCCAAAATAGTATATAATTTTTAAAATTTTTTAGAAGAAAGCCAATTTGATTTTAAATTTTTTAATGTCACAATTATAGAAAAATTGTCAGCGCTTTGTCATCTAAAAGGAAGGCAAGACCAATTCAAACGCGCCTGATAATTCTCCCCAGTGCGCACAGGTTTAATCAGATGCATTCCTCGTTTTTATTTTCCAGTTTTATGACATTCAATTTCGATCGAGCCTAAAAAGAAAGCTAAAAGACACCGAAGGCAGAACTTTCAAGAAAGGGGCAAACAAGCTACTCCTCATTCCTCAACACTATTTCGTTGGATTATTTAACATTTATTATACTAGTGAAGATGAAGACGTAATCATAAAACTAGGCCCCACGTCAAATTCCAATTTTATGACTTATGATTTAACCGCATAGGCTGTCATTAAAGTTGAATGCAACAACCGAAACAAATCCACACCACCTTCCTGCTGAAAACTTCAATCTTATACTGCGACCTTGAGCCTCGTTTCAAAATGGCCATGCCCTCTCATAATAGAAAGACTCAGGCCTAACAAGCAAAAACAAGGCGTGCTCCGTAGATCAGTGTCATCGGCTATTTATGCTCATCAATTACGGCATAGTCCTATTGGCCATTCTCACACACACCATATTTCTAATATCATTATTATCCAATAGGACACTCAATTATGTTTGATCAAATCCCTTATCGCTAATTTGTTTATTCCTCAGTTTCACCAAACCAATTGAGGGCCAAACGGACATCATTTCTCCCATAACAAACCATGACAATATTGACATTATCTGTAATGGCATTTTAAAGACTCCTTCCCTACTAGCCAGCATATTGCTCAAAGTTCGCTTAAACAAACATTTAGTGACAAATGTAAACGATTATTTAATGACATCCAAGCACGATAAGAGGGAGTCTGTTCTTCCATCTTCACGAGGTTTTCGACTTGACAGGGGCAGGAAGCAACTGCATTTGGGCAAAACATGAATCCTTGTAAGTAAAGAGAGAAAAACAATCTCAGCATAAATTGCAGCAGAAGATAAATATGGTGTGATCCCTCAAAAAGTCTAAAGGGCATGCATATTTCTCTAGAAGTTTCAAGTGAAATCAAAATGTCCTAAACATCAGAATTTTTTTCAGCTCACGAAAATGTTTAGGACACCTAGTCTGATCATACCTTCAATAACCAGAATCCTAAGATTCATGACTCAAATCTTACAATTTGTAAAAAGAAACAAACCAACGATGTGATTTAATGACTGTATCATAAATAGTACTTAACTGTCAGATCTACAATTCAAATATTACGCTTCATAACAAGTTACCCACTGGCGATATTAATCAAGGACTATATTGACTATGAATAGCCAAGTTCATGTCAATTCGACAGAATGGAATGACTTTGCAATTCATATGTGAGTGTAAATAATGATTTGGCGTGACTGTGCTACATTATTGTTAAGTATTGCCGGTGCCTCTCATAAGAGAGATATTATTTGAAATTATTTCAAGAATTAAGTACTTAAAATTAAGATAACCAATAGGCTAATATATATGACTCATGTTTAAGTACTTTAATTTATGGGTTTGATTTACCGCCTTGAGTATTTTACTTGTATTATGAAGATATTATGTGATGTTACATAATTCAAGCTATTTTTCACCTGTTATCGAATCTTCCAATTTGATGTTTTTATGGAACAATGATTTCCAAATTTATGACTTGATGACCATGACTTTACCCTTGTTTATTTACTCGTGATGCTATGCGTGTGCGTGCATAGATAGGGTGGTCAGCATATATTCAAAGGGAAGCAAACAAAAATCATACTGGTATGCACCTGATAGCAAGAGATTAGAGATGTAACAAATCCAAATGCCCCAGTCACGCGAGGAGTGACTTTCTTAGGCGCCAATTGAAGCAGCCCAACTGCTACCACTACATCCATTCCAGCTTTGATAAGTGCTAGAGTCCTCTCATTTGACTTTTTTAATTTAGCACGGTAATCCTCATTCTGCATCAACAGAGTTCTAATGCAATGCTAAAAAGTCCAGAAAATAAAGCCAGCTGAATATGGCAAACATAAAACAGAAACATTGGAGAACCCATAAACAAAGTGGCAAAACATACTTTATATTTGTTACTGTCCTTGAGTTCTTTCTCTAACTTCTTCATCGATGCAGAGAGTCTTCCAAGCTCGCCAAGCTGAAACATCAAGCAGTAACACGCCATACGAAAGGTTAAAGCAAAGGCCTAAGATTGAATTATTGATGGTACAATTAAGCCACACAAAAGTGACATACCTCAACTAGGGTGGTACATACTGAGGAACCCAGCCAACAGAAAAGAGATATCCGTCCAATTAGTTCAGTACGTTCTTTATTCTGTAGTTGGACAACAAAAATCATATATGCTGCTGGATAATATTCTGATGCAAATAATACAGAGAAAAACACAATTCAATGCTTGGAACAAGTTGAGCTTCCTACCTTGTAGATGCCAGATCTACCCAGCCACACAAATTGATCGAGAAACAGGAAGGTTGACAATAATGCGTTTTTGGACTAAAAGGGTCATCAAACAAATTATCAGGAAGAATAAAAATAAAAGAAGAATAAAAAATGGTGAAATATTCTCAGAAATTTGATACCTTTCCCAACAAAACTAGGGATAGGGGAGTTCCCTGTGGGGCAGGACTTATCAGAGCATGCAGGTCATTGACGAACTGCATATACCAGGGTGCAACAAATGAAAAGATTAACTAATTTTCTTCATCTTTAAACATGCGAAAATTCCCTTTAAATGTTACAAAGGGATAAATAATAATAGTAGTAAATAATAACAAATTTTGAGATTCTTTTGGAACTAAACAAAATAATTAACTTAATATGGATAAATCAAATATATCAATGAGGATGCATGGGGGAAAGATGATTGAAGGAAAATAAAACATCACTAAAACAAATAGCAGGTGCTCAGGTAGCATATCATCAAAGCGGGAAGAAAAGACGTACATATTTGATTTCACAGAAAAAAGAAACAACAAAAAATGATTAGATGAATTCCAATACTTTCATAAATTTAATATAAGCAAAACAAAACCTTGAATAGACGGAAAACTTTCCGTGCCAAGCTGGTTTGTTTGTCCACATTCTGGGCAGTACCCGGTTGCCCATCACTCAAAAATTTGGAACCATATTGTATTGCTCTGCATATCTTGTCCCTAGCTTCAGCCTTGTTCAAATATAAAACAATAAGAGCAAGCTCTGCCCGAGTTGCATCCAGTGTACTCATCTTTTACAATGATAGGAGCTGTAGGACAAAATCAAAGAAACAGTTCACTTCTGCTAAATCAGGAAAAGGAGGGTGGGGAGTGGATCAAAGTGTGATATTCTCCACATCAAATGAGCAGGAGGGCTAAGAAATTTAGATCAGAAGAATTCCATTTGACTTGACAAAGAATGAATATATTATTTCTTTCAATGAAAAGATGCCACGAAGCAATTTGAGAGTGCAACCACCAGACAAGAATATAAATATAACCGTATTTTGAAAAGGAAAATAAGAGACTGTCTTTTGACAACATATATTCTGAACCCTGATAGACATTCTGGCATTCACAATTAAGGAATCCTACAAAACCACCACCTACATCGAGAAACCCCAATGAGCAAGGAAAAAATTCAGCACATTTTATATCCTTCCAAGTGCCGCCATAACATGCCTGCCTCTCAAAATTTTGCATTTTGGTATATGACAACTCAGGTCTCTCCAAAGCGAAAAGGCCCATAATGCTAACATTTGTTTATTGGAAGAAAGCGAGAGAAACAAAGAATCCAAATTAAAGATTTTTCTTCCATTTATTTTCTCCATCTTCATTCAAAAACTCACATTTGAAACAAATAAACAAAAACAAGAACAAAAAAAAAAAAGGCTAGTTGTGTATCACTGCAGAAACAGCCATCAATTCAACCGTTGAATTTGTCAAAAGACGATTCTTATTCTGGATCAACTAAGATATATTTGTGGTAAGACAATAGCATTTATCCAGTTACACCAAACACTGGTGGAAGAACCTTCAAAAATCACTGAATCATGAAAACATGCTTTTAGAGACTATTTATCTCACTGATGTCGATGAAATTGTCATCAATCAAATCAGTCATTAAATGGAAGGACTCCTATGCTATCACTAACCCTATGAATCATAAGCTTAGAAATTTCAATTTGCCACTTCCTTTCCATTAATTTCCTGGCAACCACGTATCATATAAATGATATGCACGCAGACACAAACCTCAGAATATGAACGCTCAACAGGTTATTTTACCCCACAAATCCAGGCAAGCAACATAAGAAAATTTCAACAACCGACTTCCCCATGAACACACGAAATCAGAAAATAGCGAAGCAGGATACCAAAGATTGCCCTTTTGCACCTCGAACTGCAAAGTCAAAGAATTGAACGACTAGGGATGGCGAATTCCCGATCCTATCTACTGAATCAGACAACGCACATAAGGAAGATGTGAGAGAGAGTACCAAAGGCAGTGCCCGCTAAAACAGCCTCGATAATAACAATCGCACTATGTATGTTTCCGCGAGAGCCTTAGCCTTTGGCCTTTGGGTCTTTTTCCTCCCTCAGTCGTCAGCTTGGCGTGTCGTATTGCTCCCCTCCGTGACTAGGCAGCCTGTGATAAGGGCTTGTTCGGTCCTCTCCTTTTCCCACAATCAAACAAAATACTCGGACGGAAAGTTGACATTCATCCTATGTACCACCCCCGTTTAGTTTAATTTTTAATTTGATTCTAAATATAAGATTTCAATTCACTTTATCTCTCATATTTATTTATTTTCAAATTAATTCTTATTATAGTTGCACATGTTAAAAATTCAATCAAATGGTAGTTTTAGTTAATATATGATTAGCTAAGATATTTTAGGAAAGATAACACATAATTATTACAAATAAATAACTTAACAAACTTCTTTAATTTACTCAAATTACTCAACTAGCTCTTATATTAAGGATCAAAAGTAGTATAATACCTATTTCACAAGTTTATTAATTTTTTTAAATTAACCCTATTGATATTTTTTTAAAACAATAATCAAGTAGGAGAGAAGAAAAAAAATTAAGAAAGATACTTAGGATGTTTTAGAGAAAACATATCATATTAATTAATTTAACTAATATTCTTAATATACTCAAATTAGTTAATTATATATTAGATAAGGAGTAACTTTTTAAGTCATTCAACACTGGCTCTAAATTTGGTTTTGGGAGTGTTTAAATAGAAACCAAACTATGATTTTAAAAGTATTTTTTATGGTTTATGAAGTAAATATGTGGAAGAGTTTGTCTAGTTTTGTGAAAAGTTTCCTGTATTACTAATCACCCGTTTTTATCTATTCAATCAAATTAAACATTTAAATTAATACTTCGGTATGAGTCTGTGTAATGTTCACGGATTCTAATATAAAGAATAGATAATTTTGACAAGACGAATAAAAATCAAGTATTGAATATTCTTATATATGAACAAAATAATTCCAAAATATGCAATTCACTACTATTAATACTTGGATTATCCACTATTCTGGAGCTCGCTTATTTATAGGATGCCATATGTTGGGACAATTTTTTGCAAAGTGTCTTTTTTTTCTTGCACAAATAGCATCTGTTAGACTTCTTTGAATAAAATATAGGATGCCATATGTTGAATTTACATTTATACGGGAGTGAGATAAGACAATATGTTGGCTTTGGAAGTGGGGTCTTAATAATATATTTACTTTTTGTGAAAGTCAACGGGCCAATACAATATGGTTTTCCTTCTAGTTATTCTCCATTTCTTTGTGTCTTCTAAGTAAAGGATCCAACTAATTCTAACACTTCCAATGCACAAATTTAATTAACTCAACCAATTCCAATACTTCCAACAACATGTGCACCGCAACAAATGGAAAGTCGGTATAGCTCTTGATGGGGCCTTTGTTTCTTTTAACAGTTTAATCTATTTGTCTGCCCTCCGTTCCTTCAAATAACTCTAGTCCAAGCGGTTGGACTAGACATATGTACAATCATATTGCCAAATGGAATGGTTTTAACGCGAGATGATAAATGTGCGCATGGTTTGATGGGAGACTGATGATCTAATTGGCCACTAAAAAGCAAACACATATGATACATAATGGAGGGTTTGGTTATTAGGGCCACATTTTGGCGCGCACAATAAACAAAATGGATTGGTGGTGATACAACATGAGAACTTTTGGTGCCGCCTTTTCTCATCAATCTCAATCCTTTGTTTGCTTACAAAGCATGATTAGCTGTAATCCACATTTAATGTTTTCCTAGATGGCGGCTCCCTCATTACATCTGTCAATCCAATTCTATAAATCATGAATATTATGATTCTTTTAAGCACCGTATGTTTCTTTTTAATTTTTAAATAATTTACCATTTTTTATTGCATCCAGTACAACTTAGATATATGGAAGTCTTGTATGCCGCATCAGAAAATAAACAACATTGGTGACGAGTAAAAAAAGGAGCCCCTTTGAGTTTAACTTCATCACGGCCATAGTGATAACTTTGAGATACGGATGATACCTGAAATTTCAGAGGGTTAGAAGAGTTATTCTTAACTGACAAGCGATACTGTTAGATTGCTTTAGCTAAGTTCTGGGGAAGGCTTGTTGGCTTCTTTTCTTGTTCCTTTTCTTAAGCTTCTGCTTGTCTCTATTTCTCCAAAAAAAGAAAGTTAAACAGTTACAATTTGTTAGTGCTGGAAGGTAAATCCCTCCATCTAATTTGGTACACCCGCCTCTCTTTATATCTTCTAAGTTGTGCCCACTTTTCGTCTTCTTTAACCTTAAAAAGAATTATGCATAATCTGATATGGCTCTTCCGCTATACATAATATAATCACATGGCAAGATCTGAATTGTTCATTGGTTATTTATAGTTTATAGATGCTGATTAGTCAACATTCAAGAAATTATGACATCCTATTGTACATCTAAATTCATTTATTCAGACTTATACTGGTATGTGTTTTGAGTTTTATCCAATTAAGTGCACTATCTTCTCAGAGTCAGCAATAGCTAAACTATCTAATTTCGTTAATAGTCCCTCGCAAGCAACTGCTGCATTGGCCTACAATATTAAAGGGATTATGCGACATTATCAAATCAAAGCAATAATGAAACTCAATATCTGATTACTTCTTTTATAAAGTTTATAATGATGATTTAATTACTAGCCATGCAATTTGAATATTTCCAAGATACTAGCTTCTGGCAAGAGTATTTCTACTACAGATTTTGTGCAAATTAACATAAAAGATTAAATATTTATAATAAACTAACATGTTACATTAAGCAAACTGGACCATTCCAGTTTGCATCCTAGGCTACTTCGTTTCATATAGACAATGAAACAAACATTCGATAAGAACAAAGTACAAAAAAAGCAGATACAATGCGCTCTCTCTATTTCCTGCTAAATAGGCTTCTCAATTTCCCTCTTTCCAATCTCTCAAGTAACTTCTTCGCTCCCGGAATCTCCATCTCTGTGAGCTTCTTCAGATACCCGATTGCTCCGTAGGAGATCATCAGTTTCCTACACTTTTGGCTCGAAGAAAGCGATCCAAGGCATGCCACAGCATATTTCTTTGCAGTATTTTGAGCACTTGGATCAAGCAACTGAACAAGACTGGGCACGCTCTTGTCATTCTTCTTCACCTCTCTTTGATTCTGAGACAGCATCATCAAGCTTGAAATCGCTTGTGCAGCCACCTCCCTAGCACCGTTAGACTTAGCCTCCAGCATTTTCACAAGCAGAGGGACACACCCAGCCTCACCAATCATCTTCTTCATCTCTCCTGAGCTGCAAATTTTACAGATTGTAGATGCAGCCGCTTGTTGGGCCCCGGTAGACCCGGATTTTAGGACATGAGCCAAGCGAGGAAGTAGGCCCGTGGAAACTAGAGACTGTTCAGAGACAGATCCTACTAAGTTCCTCAAGGCTCCCATTGAAGATTCTTGGGGAAGAGGAACGTCTAAATAAGCTAAAAGGCTTCTAATTCCATTTTCTGATATGACAAGCCTTCTTAGATTCTCATTGCTAGAAGTGAGATTCTGTAGGCACTCAGCTGCATACTCTTTGGAGTTTAACAACATTCCACAGTTTAGGAGACTGATCATTACCTTAACAATCCCTTCCTCGGCTAGAACTTGTCGAACCTCTGGGACAGCAGATATGTTCTTCAAAGTACAAGCACAAGCAGCCTGTGACACAGAATCACCAGTCTGACAGAGATCAATGAGTGGACGAACCCCACCATGTCCAACAATGGCACGAGCAGTTTCTGATGACATGGAGAGCCTCTGGAAGGTTATGGTAGCCTTCTCTTTCCCAATGGCACTTCCTGATTCAACGAGCCTTATCAGAGGCGGAATAACTCCTTCAGAAATTAACCAATTCTCACAGCTCCCTGATTCCGCAAGACTGCATATAATGGTAACAGTTTTCTCTCTTATCCTGGGAGAAGTAGCAGTGAGCAATTGAACCAAAGCAGAAATGTTGCTACGTGTTAAAACAGCTAAAACACTCTTCTCATCTTCTTTCATTACATCATGTAGTTTCTCTATAGCCCTGTGTTTTGCCTCCAAGTGACCGATCTGCAGGCGAGCCAGTAACTCCCTGATATTGCTCGAAACATCAGCTTCTGATGATATTGCCAACGGCAAAGTGGCCTCCCCAAGAACTCCAGTTTTGATCAACAGGCCGCAATCTTTCAAGTGTAAATCGAGTTTCCCTGACAAGGCATCGAGATCACTCTGCATCTTGAGCTTGCCTTCGTACTTCTCCTTCACGCAAAGCTCGGCCAAATGAATGGCTTCTCTGAGTATCGATGATACAGCCTGCAATTGCTCCTTGCACAGAGCGTTCTTGGAGAAGCATGGATGACTCGACAAGTCTGATAAACGACACGGGATCTGTTCAAGTTTTGATATGATCATCTTCCACCTTCCTGGGAAATTCTTCACCTCCCCGGCCTTCTCGAGAGCAAGAGGGACAAGCTCTTGTGCTTGAAACAACCATTCTTCTGTTGAACGACCATCATCATGATTATTATCTTCAACCACCATGGTTGTTGTTAGAGACGAAGAATCAGGAAACCGGAACTGCCAGAGCTGGAACCGAAGATAGATGATGTTAATGGCATAGAAAAGTGGGGGAGCAGTTACAATCACAAAATTCGTGAATTATAAATTAAGATATAGGAAAATTGTGGGGTACAAAACAAAAAAACAAAAAAGACAATCAAATAGCTTCGAGAATCTTGAAGTGTGCATGATGATCACACGAAGCTTGTTTACTGAAGACAAGACTCGACCAACCAACCTGATGTGCCTGAGATGTCCCACAAGTCTTTTCTATTGCTTTAACAGGTGATCATTCAATGCCCCCTCAAAATCATAACCATAACAATAAAAGAGCTAATTTATTAAAGAATTTGATGGTGAAAATGAAAAACCAAACCCCCGGGGGGGGGGGGACCGATAGAAATAACTTCTAATGGCTAACAACGCCGTCTAACGAAGAAGCCGTCGGTGGAAATTTCAGCTCAAATTACAAAAATACCCTTGAAATGTCGGCCATAGAGACGTCGTCTGGGAGGGTATAACGGTAAAGTGAGACAAACCTCTAACTTTCCTTTCCAACCACGAGAAAGAAGTTTGGGAGAGAAGGAGAGTGTATCAAAGCAAAATACAGGAGCTTTTTCAAGTTTGATTGTGATGTGAGTTCATATGACCCGCAACGGATTCCGATAGAGGCTGCGCAAAGTAAAGCTCTTCTTAGCTGTTGGGTGATAAGTAAAGACAGAGAGAGAGGCTTTACTTTCAAGGGAAGATACAAGTCTTTTTCTACAGTTAGTTGTGTATTAAATTTCTCATAAGGATCATCATCGAGACAAATACATTTTGCGAAAAAAATAATCTAAATAATAATAGGTGTCTTCAAGGTACCTGGAAATCAATTTGACTTGTTCAACTTTCAGATCATGCCACAGCACTCTCGTCCTCCTCCTTCTTCTATACTGCTTCATGAGACCAGTAAAAGAGAGAAGAGAATCAGAGACCTCATTAGCTACCGGAGAGATAGTATGTATGTTAGTTCTGAAAAACAAAGAAAGAAAAGGATGGAAAAGAATGGAACTTTACCTTTTGAAGTAGGAGATCCAAGGTGCAAGAAAGGAAGCTAATAGCTAAAGAAACAAACAACCTCAAAGACACCAACCTTAAAGCTTAAAAATCCACTGTGGCTTTATCTTCAAGCTTTGCACTAGTATCTCTGTGACACTCTGACACTCTCCCACACAATACTCTGAAACTTCGCAATGCTTACAAAATCAGCAATCACAAAACTGTGTCGTTTAATTCATGCTTGCAGGAGACAAACAGCGACTCTGGATCAGGCGCGCCCAAGAAACATGTTCTGTTTACTGATCGAGAAACAGACACGAATCACTCGCATCTCTATGAAAAAGCACAGTAAGAATCCTCAACGAACAGTTATGTGACCGAGTTTGAAACCAAAGAAAAATAATCCAGTTAATGAAATTTCAAGCTTCGCTAAACGACACAAGAGAGCGTATCATCGCTCTTGCATTCAAAAATCAAACTTCACCATTCTCTCTCTCTCTCTCGAAAATGTCAGTCTCGTTGTGTCCAGATGCCCTCTGTAAAAGGCGTTATTTTAGCTTTTGGGAGCTTAAAGGTCGAACAGTTTAATTGATCGGACGGTAGAGATTGGGGATAGAAGGACAATCCGACCGTTGGGATTGGGTAAAATTTTGAATATGCTGGGGATGCAGGAAGCAATCGATATGACGTGGCTGAATCTACCACGTGTATGACAAGGACGGGCCCTTACTTTTCAACGTGTAGGCTATGGTGGAGGAAAATCACACGTGCGAAGGAGACAGTACGGAGAGATTGGCGTCGGCGTTGTGAAATTACATATTCAACCCTGGTCGGGGGCCTGAAAATACAAGAAGCCATAAATTCAAACGTTGACATTATTGATGAATGAAGCCGGTCAAAGAGAGGTGGAGTTCAGTTTAAAATTCGGCCCATCTTTGTCGAATTTAAATAAGAATAAATATCCATAACAAAATGCTAGTCGTACAACATTCTCATGATGAATTAAAAAAAAAAAATAAATGAAGAGAAATTTAGTTAAAACCATATTAGCCAATGAGTTAACAAGCCCTATTTCTTTTTTAACCGAGTGTAGCCTATCTTTAATTATGTGCAAAATTCTTTTGAAATTAAAATCATTCACACATAGCTGTATCAACTCAAATTTAAGTTGCTTTAACCAAAAAAAATTTTCAATCGATAATTTGATCCACCAATTTATGGTTTTTAATTTCATGTTTTATTAACGGAACAAACAGTCCCTTGACTAAACAAAATGGGAGAGTAGCTTTGCGTAACTGGCACGGAAGGCTGTTCCTTGTCGGCTCTCCAACTTTGCGCTTCCTTATCCATCCCTTTCTAAGTTTTTTTCATTTGTTTCGTCAATCTCGTGCCGGTAAAATGATGTTATTCACATTGATATGTTTACAAACTTATATAAAAATGCATAAAGTTTATATTTCACCTTTGTCTTTATTATTAGCTTTTTTTTTTAAACCATAGTGTGTATATTTATATATCTATATAAATATAAAATCAAATTATAATCACTTATTTGCAGAATATAAATTCTAATAACGTTAAAGGCATTCGGGTGCCGTAAGACTTCGATTTTCTTGGGCTGAAAATGAAACATGGACTCAAGAGCCCCATCTTGCTCCTGTGCCCTCCTCGCTGCCTGGTGATTGGAAATTTGAATAAAATCTAAATCTGCGCAAGCAGATTATATTTGATAATTATTAAACCACCAAGGCTTTGAAACAGCACATCGTTTAAACTACAAAGCCCTTAAAAATCATGTTAATTAAAAGAAAATTACTTGCTCTTACAGCGATACTATATTGTTTACCGCTGACAACAAAAAAAAAAAAAAAAAAACAACAACAACAAACCATCCCAGTTTAAATGTTTGACCTCCAACATGTTGATTAAATTTGTCTTGCATGGATATGAAAACATAGTTTACTTGCAAAATCTTTTAACACTGCACAGATTTATGAGCCACAAATTGACTTGGATCCCATGCCCTTGGGGGGCTGACAAAGAAACGTACATAGATAATGCTGACAAATCTGGATTTTTAATAAGAAAATCTAATTAAGCCAAAAATCAGTTTTTCTCCTTTCAATATAATTTTAAAGATTTACAACTCACTGAATAAATATCAGCCTAAATCATGCTACTGCATCAAGCCGCCTCAATTAACCATCTTGCTCTACCCTTCAATTGAAAAATCTAAACCCTTCAAATTGTACTTAAATGATATATAATTGTTTTCATTAAAATTTTGATCCGTCACGAAGCTCGAGTGGCCAACAAGGGCTCCATGAGTAGCAGACCCCAATGCGCATGCTTCACTTGTATTTAATCGAAGGATCAAATGTCGAGACCCATAAGATGATCCACCATTCCCAACCTCTCCTCATGAAGTACTTCATAATGTCTAAATACCATCTATTCTCAACACTCTTAAGTCGTAACCATTAGCAATGGAGATGACAACTTTGCCCAGGCTAGGAGTAAATAACTCAATACAAAAATCCCCACAAAAAATGAAGAGAAAGACAGCATATGATAAACCTTTTCACATTTAGGGTTTTAACTGGATAGATTTCAGAGGAATACATGCAATCAACAAACAAGCCAAGTTTTCTGTTGCCAAACGATGAGGGGGGAAAGTCTACAACCAAACTGAAAATAGGTCTAACATATTCTAGGACATTTCTATTCAACCTCTCCTGGGGAACGGGACTCACGGCGGGGTGGTGGTGATCGGCTGCATAGATAATAACGAAGACAAAGTAAAGTGAAATGAATATAAGAAGACAAAAAATCAAAAGGGCTATATTGTGGTCAACAAGCGCCAGCTTAGCCAAAACAAACCTGTCATATCTTCCATTTAATGGGCTCTCATTCCGTTCATACTTGGGGCTTCCTCTTGGTTCTGCTCTGGAAGTCGGATTTGATCCATGGCCATAGTCTGGGCTACCCCTACCTCTGCGATAAGGGCTAAGTGATCTACCACGACCATACCTCCCATCAGGGGATATGTCTCGGCCTCTCCTATCAGGACTGTATCCATTTCTTCTATCATCATCATCATCTCTAATTGCATACTCCACTGTAATAACCCGATCCAACAACTTGCTGAAAATAAAATACGGACACAACATTACGAGATTTAAAGCAATACAGGGCCATTAGCATGTTCATCACCCCATCATTACCTCTCCACCTTTAAAGGGGGGAAACATCAAGAAAAATAAATAAACATAGCAACTAATGGAAGAAAATTACAACCTCATGTTAGTTGCCTCCAATGCTCTAGTGGCATCCTCCAGGGATTCATACTGAACAAAAGCAAAATTCCTTCTTATCCTTATATTCAATATTTTCCCATATGCATCAAAGTGCCTCTCTAGATCCCTTGTCCTCGTGTGAACAGGATCAAAATTAATGACAAACAATGTCTTCGATGGTCTCATATTAGTTGAAGATCTTCTTGAATCACCTGACCTTCTGCTATCACGTTCTTGCTGCAGCTCATTATGTAGTGACAGCATTAATGTTTAAATGAGAACATTACACATAAGTTTCTTGCATCCCATGTTTATATAAAATACCCCGGCTGGTTAAAGTGATGGAGATATACAGGAATTACATGCACAACTTCCTTTCAAGGCACATGAAAGCATCAGTAAACAAGGGCATAAGCACCCAAAAAAGCAAAAACATTCTCCTTTTTTTTTTCCGGTAAAAAGATCAATGATATAAAATGAAAAGCAAAACTCATTGCAATGCATGCACCATCATCAAGATAAAAAAATTTGCAGTTCTTTATAGAATCAGGTGTGCTGTGGCAATATGAGCTCCTGGAGCCATGAGGCATTGGCAAGTGGCAACATTGAACTCTGAAGCAAATAAATTAAATTATAGTAGTTAAAATAAATTAAAATAATTCAAAGTGAACATAAAAGGACAGGTCAAATAACACATGCTCGCACGAAAAGCTCCAAGTTGCTGCTAGTTTGGGGCTTCTCCACAAAATGGTAATGAAAGATGGAAGTACGAACTTTTGGATTTAATCCACTACCAGCTAAAAATTTTTAAAATGGGGAAAGAAAGGATGCGAAGCTAAGAGATCTAGAACAGAGAGGGTATCAGGGAAAAAGAGATAGAACAGAAAAGATACAGAGAACAGAAGAGGGAAAAGGGTGACGGAGAAGTACAAAAGAGAACCGAAGAGGAAATGGGATGAAGGACTTACCTGATCTGCCATAGCCCTGCGACAGAGAGAGGAATAAAGCATAGACATAAATAAGGAGACATTGACACGTGAGAGCAGGAGTGGTTTCTTTGAGGGGCTGTGTTGAAGGGGTCCATTGAGAATGGAGTGATAACAACCCTCAAATATGAAGGCACCTCTCTAAGATAGGGCCTTCAAATTCCTCACAAGGGAGTGAACGCAAACATGCAACCATTGCCCATGGTGCAGTTGGTTGAGCCATGCCTGTAACAGACAAAATTTGCACTGCCAAAACTCTGGCATTGCACAACTGGTCTGGCATTGGACCATGGTCCCCATCACCGGTAATTATGAAACTTAATTAACATGTGCGTTCCCAAAGTGACATGTCACAGGACTTTCACGTCAGCCTTTGATCGCCAGTACAAGATTCAACATCATCGCACATGAACTTGATTATGCACACCATGATATCTAATTATAATCATATCCATGTTTGAGCAGCTATGATGCAAAATATGTACCTTAGTCCACTCGACACGTATTCGGCGCCCCTTTCTACCAAACTCTGTTCTATCAAGTCTTCTAATTGCATACTCAGCATCACGTTCATCTTCCATGTAAACAAAAGCAAACCCTACAAAACAAGAATGTTAAAAGAAAACAGTGCAGAACATTTCAGTTCAGTTGAAACATTATAAGAGCCAAGACGTTTAGGAGAGGCAGGTAGCATCAACTGATCTAATTTGAGACATAAAGCAACTTAAAACCGAAACGAAAACTGTCAGGAAGTACCACAACACCTGCCACTGTGGTGAAACCATCAAGTTTCTATGTTGAAACATGTCGGAAATTGAACATTGAGCAAAAGTCATGAGGAATGAAAAAGCAATGAATGCTGAGGGAATGCAGAGTGGCAGGGCTAGGGCGGATCAGTTTATTTCTTCTGGGAAAATACAAAGGAAGCTTGGGCACATGCTAGAAAAGAAATGCAGAGAAGCACATCCATCCAAGAAGAGCATGGACATTCCAAGTAATCCTGCGTCAAAGAAATTGTTGAGTATAGGGGGTTTATATTTTCATGAAATCTTGCTTCTTTAAAGGGAAACATATCGTACATCCATTAAAAAGTAATCAGTCAAAGAATGTCTCGACCCTTTCAAGTATCCTCTGAGGACTCAAGTCGTCTTTTAAGAGTTCTTGGATGGAAGATTCTGGAACGTCATTGATAGGAGAACGTGAAGTTTCTAACGCAAGGCATACTACCTTTCCACCACATATACCCTGCAACTTATACCATAAAACTCACAACTGAAAAGTAACTAATCAGTGTTTAGCAGTTTCATAATCATGTAGGATTTTTTTTTTTTTAGTTCTTTTTCAACATGTTTCCGGACTAATATCTGAAAGGGTCGAAGCATCCTTTGTAGGACAATTGCCTTCAATGGTTGTACACATATCCTACTGTTTTTCCCAGACAACATTAATACCCCACTGTGTCTCAGCACAATCGAACACTTCATGGGTTTCATGATCAAAATAAGGCCACAGAAACACCTTCAGTCATGATCCCAGTCATCAATCTGTATATCTGCCTAGGATTTATCTCGGAATTAAACAATGTGTAGTCTAATCACTACAGTGGTACATGAAACAAAACAGACAGTTCATAAAATTAAGTAAAACTAAGCAAGCTTACAATCATCACTTGAAAGAAGATGATTACAATATCACAGCAAGATTATCTATCAACTAAATGATTACTGGAAGCCAGCGTTAAGAAAGTCCAGTTCTTTGAATGCTGACCATCCAAGGTGAATTTTTTCATTATAATCCGAATGCCACAGTGTAAAATAATTGGTAAGAGAAGCAATTGCCCAGCTGCTAACTAGCAATAAGGCAGAGCTTTAAGCCCCGGACCGGAGCTGAATCTTAAGAGACATTAGGTGAAAAGAAAAATGAATACCAATACAACCAAGATGAAGAATAGCATACCAGACTTCAAGTCCACTCTGTCAACTTTCCCATATCTTCTGAAGAGTCTCTCAACATCAGACTGGCGCGCATCGAAATCCAGGTTTCCACAAAAGACGGGCCTCATCTCCAGCGGCAATTTGAAAGCTCAGAAAATCCTTCCACAACCAAAAATGCAATATCGGTTTGAAAATTAAACAATAGCCAAGGCGAAATTCGACGGGTCATTGAAGTTAAAAGAAGGAGCCAATGTAGATCTGCGCTTCATGGAAGAAAGAGTGAAGGATCCATACCTCTTTGAAGCCTTGAAGAATGAAACCCTAGGCGCGAGACGCGAACTTGCAAAATGAGAACACGGACGAAACCCAACAAGTCGTGACTTGGGAAATGAAAGCATTATCGAGTGTATTGGCTCACACAGTAAGCACGTGGCCACGGGGGCCCCTTGGTAAGGCAAAAAGCCTCTGAGGACCAAAAACGCAAAACAAAACAAAAGGCTTGCAGGGATATCGGGGCAAATATCTGTTGGGATCCGAGTACCACCTCATATATATCCTCTGTCCAATAGGAATGCCCCACCTCAAATAATTTTAATCCACGTGTCATCTTACTGGTATTCTGTAATTTGTTGTTTTAAGAGATGAAAAATTGTTTTCGCCCTACCGCCCCTCTTTTCTTTCTCACATCCCTCTCCCCTCTCTCTTCATCAGTCTCAGGCCGTCGTCTTCTCCTTTTTTTTCTTTGGCTCCGACACTGAATTTGCCGCAGGTGCATCTCGACGGCCGACGAGCTTATAGAAAGTGCTTCGAGTCTGGCTCCTCCACGTCGCCGTGTTGTGCCATTGATTTTCTCAGCCAGTAGTAGTGGCGACTCTGAAGAGGATGAAAGGGGGCTCGGGGAGTTTAAAGATGGAGATGAAGGAGATCATTTTGACAGCAACAATTGTGATGTTAATATCCCCATGCTAGGGAAGAAGAAGCGAAGGATGCAGTTCGCTAACACTCTAACTATTTGTCTTGCGTACCCATGATTCCAAGTTAAAACCCAGGTTATTGAAAATATGGCTTTTATTTGCATCCAAAAGGAATTAATGAATAGTATGCGGATTAAATTGGGAAGAATATAATAATAAACTATTGGAATCTTTTTTCTGATTTGCCTGAATGGATGGCCGTTGTGTCTGCGCAAGATCCTCTACAAGGTTCTTCAAGTCTGCAAAGCACTATTGAAATGATGCATTTTGTAGAGTGCAATTATTCCCAAATCACAATGGCAGATCCCATCCAGATTAATCGACTTGATCTTTCTACGTGAAGTGTTCTAGCTGACTCCTAGAGGCTTGCAGGCTGCCGAGATGCGCCTGCCGTAGATCCAGCGTCAGTGGCCGAAGAGTATGAGATTGATGAATGGACAAGGGTACGTAATGGTGTGAGAAAGAGAGAAATGGGACAGCAGAGGAAAACACAGTTTTAGTAAAACAACAAATTAAAGGACATGAGTAGGATGACATGTGGATTAAAATTATTTGAGGTGGAGAATTCTTACTGGACAGGATACATGTGAGGTGTTACTTTAGGAGTACCAAAGACTTTCTTGTTGGGATCACTCTGCATTGTACAATGAGTAGAAAGTAAATAAATAATTTAAAGAAATTAAAAAAATAGTTGAATTATTTATTAATTAAAAAATAGTGTTGATTTTTAAAATACATTTTAATTATCTGTATTGAAAACTACTTTATCATATAAATCCTTTGATAATTAAGTATAATTAATAAGAATATCTTAGAGAACAAGGTATATGCTCACTAGCTTTTATAATGGAATATGATATTTTAATTTAAAATCAATATATCAATTTATAACTTCAGTTTGGGATGCAAAAATTAAAAATCTCAACAACAAATCTTTAGTCCCTAATAATAAAAAGTGGCATTATGTTTCAAACAAGTTCCTTAATTAATTTGTCATTTTCCCCTTTTTCTTAATATAATTTGCACTATCAAATCACATAACAATAACACACGAACACAATTTCGACCCTCACCGATTTCACATCTGATCTAATACATACAAGCATCGTACAGAGGGGGGAAGGTATTAAGCTTCCAAACTTTAGACTATAGATCGCCACATGCATATTGTTAAAAGCTTGTTAAAACGCTCTTTGTCTTAAAGGGTATTTAGATGGAAACCAAACAATGGTTTTAGAAGTAATTTTATGGTTTACGAAATAAATATGTAGATAAGTTGATCTCGATTTGCGGAAAAGTGCTTTTCAAAAGTACTTCTCATACTATCCAAACACTCTCTTAATCGGAGCTTTTTTTGTGTGTTCACGGATAATATATTCATCATCCCGGCCCATTACAAACAAAGAGACGACGTAACAATGAACTAATTAAACTTTGCTTAAGAAAATATAGTATATAAAAATCCACTTGACCAGATGCCATGTCTTTACACAACTATCTCTTCTGAAGTTCAATACATGAGAGAAGCACTCTTCTTTTCCTCTCTTCTTCTGATGCTATATTCACATGCATGCTTATTTGGTCTCCACCCATATTCTTCGTTAACTAAGATGCTCTCTAGCCATGGAATGCGCTAGCCGGAGAGAGATGGACACAGAGGTGGGTTTCATTAATTCATTAAAGAAAATGACCACCGTGTCTATCTCTTTCTAGTTACATGAACTGCTTGGTTAGAGGGCATCCGAATTAGCGCGGCGCTCTCGATTTTCTGATCAGTTGCCGCCAATACCATTATATGGAGATTCATAAGCACTGTAAGGCGACCCAAAATCACTGTTATTTGGGGACTCACTGAAAGTTGGAGGCACAAGAACTGAAGAAGAAACCTTAAACCTCTTGCTCCTTGATCCCTCATCTTGTTCATCGCTTCCATACACGTTATTATTACCATGATCCGGACTATCCACCCACCCCAACAGCTGCTCCAAACTAAGCCCTAACTGCTCCCCGCCGGCATCTGAACCGTCAGAGTCCAAACCAGGCTGCCGGAACCCGAACCACTCGGAGCTGCTTGAGCTCTCCCAGGAAGTAACCGCACCCGGTTGATCTCCTACAGGCGGCACTATTATGCTGGGCTGCACCACTTTCTCCACCATATCATTAGGGATTTGGTTGAACTCGTAGTTTCCGTAGTCAGAACTAGCCCTTCTGTGGAATATGCTAGCGAGGGTAAAATGGTCAGTTACCCTGCTCTTGGATGGTTTATTACTGCTACTACCATCGCTTGACCTAGCCATTATGCCCTGAAGATTCTTGCTCAACCTGGCTTTCAGAGAAGCAAAACTCAGTCCACTTTGCTTCGATAGGCCCTCGCTAGTGGCGGCGGCGGCGGACACGAAGTTGGTTCGGGCGTTGTCTCCGCGGAGGGCCCGGGCTGCCTCGTCGTAGGCTTGGGCGGCCTCCTCTGGGGTGTCGTAGGTTCCGAGCCAAAGCCGGACGTGCTGAGCAGAGTCCTTGATCTCGGCGACCCATCGTCCGGACGGCCTCTGACGGACCCCTATGAACCGTTTCGTCATCGTGGCCTTGTCGTTGGATTGTGCTGGATGCCGGTTGTTATTTGATGATGAAGGCGACGTAGTCGCACAAGCAGATTTCTTAGTTCCAGCTCCTGCCATGATTAGAGAGGTTATATTCAAAATAAGGCTTTAGGTGTGGGTTTATTTCAGGACAGTGCTGTTTCTGTTTGCCTTGTGTGTGTGTGTGTGTGAGGGGGAGAGAGAGAGAGAATTTTGCGTGTTTGCTTACGAATATCTCGAGTGATACAGATATTGTTCTTGTGTCAGCTATATATATACAAGTAATAGTGTAACGGGGTTGCAGGGAGGTTCGTACGCGGTGCCCGTCTTCATATTATTCTAGTATTAATATTTTCACAGTTATCTTAAATTACATTCCGCCTAACATATTAGTCTTTTTCTCACATATTTTAGTGTTACAACTCTACGGTGTATAATCATTTCAAAGAAATGCTTTCGGGATGAGAAGCAGACCTCAAATTGATACGATAGATATATATATATATATTTTGGTTATGATGAAGTGAGCACATATATTATCAGTTTGTACGTTTCATGAGATAGCTCCATATTATTTAATACTGGTTCTAAATATAAGAGTTAGTTTAGTATAATTTACACTAAAAATTAACTCTGTATTTAGAATTAGAGGCGACATGTGTGTGTATATATAGTTGGTTGGCCATGGGCGACATATAGACTTGGCACAACTTGGTCTTATAAACTCGGGGATTTTTCATACTTAAATAAGCGATCCAAACCGACGGCTCAGGATTCTTCAAAATTAAAATCTGGTCCGGACTGACATGTAAAAGGTTGGCGGTTACCGTGTGATGCGTGCGGCTAGTATAGTTATGCCGCATAACAAGCTGGTTAAAAAAATGGTTATACATACTGTATAAAAGTAAGTAGCTATGATGTTGCGTATACGTATTAACTATAGTATAATAACCCATACTTGGAGTTGTTAAGTGTCTGTGTGTTTGTGGAACCAGTTTCAATGCTCATCATTTTGATGAGCACTCTAAACTCATCAGATCTGGATCATTTATATCTAATGTGAATGGTCCAGATTTAAAATCTTTAATTAATCATTTTTAAATAGAAAAAACTATTTTTCAAAAAAAATAATTCTATACATATAAAATAATTATTTAAATAAATAAATAAAAATTAAATCTAAACTATTCAAATGAGAATTGATGAGCTTACCGTGCTCATCAAAGTGATTAGTACTAACACT